TGACCAGAACTTACATATATTTGCGAGAGAAGATCTGCCTGGGCCTGATGTGGAATGAACTCCTCTTTAAGCAGTGAAAGTTCAAAAGGAGGTTAAGAAGAAAAGTGGACTAAGCCGTTCCCTTTCTGCTAAGGGAGGACACTGCTACAGGAACACTCACAGGAGAAATGCTTATTTCTGATTCTTAAATAATAAGACTTTTAAACTATAACTTAAAAATTAGACTTGACAAAGTAACAACAGCAAAACTAGGTAAGAGCTAAAATTTAGTTACTGTTTTCAAGGTAAGTATGGAATAAACATTTTAATACTACCTCTTCATGATCTTAAAATATTTTGAAGAAATACACTGCTGAATATATAACGTTAACACAACAGCAGTATGTTGAAACATGGAAGCATCTACAAATAATATACTCCACAATTCAGAAAGGCAAAATTAAAATTGAATTGCAGCAAAATTTCTTTTTGGATGCCCGATCCTGCTAAGTTGCCTATTCACTAAACCCTCGAGGACTAACTTATTTAAAAAAACAAAAAACAAAAACAAAACTCAGAATGGTCCTAGATCAGTTAAAGGGAGGTTAAAAAATAAATAAATCTTAGATACTCCTGCCTAGACAGGGCTTTATTTTTTTTTATTGTTATTTTTTCCTGCCTAGACCAGGCTTTTAAAACCAGGTAGCAAAGAAGGTCTATGTGTACAAATGCTGCTTGGCAGTGTGGGCACATCACAAAGCAGAGAGGAGTGCTGGGGAGGCGGGGAGGGAGAGACAGGGGCAGGTGCTAAAGGGGTCTGGTTCCCAGGAGTGCAAAGATATAAAACAACATCTGGAAAAAGTAGTCTGAACTTAAGTGTTCTGAATTACCGGAGGTTTAATGAGATCAAACTGTGATATGCAATTTGTGAAGGAAAAAGAATCAAAACCACAACATTATTTTCATTAAAGAGATAAAACCAAAAGTGCTTGGCAGTATAAATGAAAATGATGAAGCCTTCCTACTCAAGGTGAGTTTCAGTGTAAAATGGGTCAAGCAATTTTGTCTGAAAATAAAAATGACCCTGTTCAGTGTTAATTTTAAAAGCTCACCAGCCAGAATTAGGTGCCCTAAAATCAGAACATTTTTAGTGTGGTACTGAACACCAGATGTTAATAAGGAACCTAGAATACTTGCTACTTAAAGAGAAACATCTGGTGCATTCATCATGCACCAGGAAAAACGTAACCCCAATTTCACCTGCTTTTCAGGTGATTTCCCTTCAAGCAGATTGTGACACCTCAACGCCACCACTGCAACCACTCCTCCAAACCTTTATTTTGCAAGTGCCAGTCACGCTTCTAGTTTTTACCTGTGAAAAACACCCCAGGGTACCACATCTGTGGCATTCCTGATCCTCTGGAATCTTGCCACTTTGTAGTCTGTCTGCTTAGGTTCTTGATTTTAATGGTCACCTACCATTAAAGTGAATCTCAAAAGTGAATCAGAACAGAGTAGCAAGCTTCCTCGCACTATGTTCCTCCCCAAAACTCTGTCATGAGATGTTGCTGATGGGATGTGTGTTGCCCACATGAACAATGTGAGGGCAGGTGAGAGTAAATAAAACTATACAAAAGACTAGAACTATAAAGTGATGCTTCCCCAAACTGTATCTAAGATGCCATCTTTTTTGTAAGTTTTCACGCCATACTGCCACCTGCCTATGGGAAGATCCTGCTACATACACCAAATCTAAGAGCGATAGGTTAATTCATCCTCCTTCACCTCCATGCCAAATGGCAGACTGCTAGCTGTCCCTTAACCTTTAACTCTTCCTTTCTAGTGGGCATATGGCTGGGCTAGATTTCCCAGACACCCTCGCAACTAGGTGTGGTCATGTGACTAAGTTCCAGCCAATGGAATATGTGAGGAACTGAAATGTAAAACTTCTGGGTTGGTCCTTAAAGGCAAGTGGCTGTCTTCCTTCCTCACTTCACACCATGATGTCTTAGGCAATCTTATCTCCCATCACAGCACCTAAAACCACAAGATCAACAGTGTCTGGGTCTACGGAAGGCCAAGAGGAGCTGTCCAGGCCCTACTTATAAGCACACACAGAACAAAAGAGAGAATTTTCTGTCTGGTTTAAGGCAATGTTATTGTGGGTTTCTGTAATATGTACCTGAACCTATATCCCAACCAATACACTCCCAGGCTTATTTGCCTTCTGAGGTCAAGATTAGCGATTCCCAAACATGGCTGTGTCCAAGAATCAAAATGGGATACTTTTATGGGGGCGGGGGTACTGGAATCTATACTTTTAAGCTCTCTGCCCCCATCTCCAGGTAATTCTGATGAAGTCAGAAGATCTGGGAGCTTACTAATGGAGGCAAAAGGAGATAACCTGTGATTGAGGTTTCTTGGGCACAGTTTCAATCTTTTTGATCCTCCAGGAGTCATAAAATCCTAAGAAGTCTATCCAAGAGTTGCCTTTTGAATCTGCTTGTTCCTTGCTTCTCCTCTTGAGCCCCACTGGGGTAGACATCCTTATCATCATTACCCTGAGCTTCTCCAAGGCCCTACAGTTCCTTGACTATCTTCCATTGCAGCACCTATTTTGAATTCCTCCCTAGAGGGAGGTCAGGCAGCTCTTCCGGTGGGTTAAAGATTGGCAAGGAGAGACTACAGCATCCATCTGCCAAAAGATCAGATTAATTTCTTTTTACAAGGAGCTAAATCTTAGATAAATGAAGTGGCCATACAGGGCAGAGACCTCAGCAGAATGTCCCTTGGTCTTCAGAGTCCCTAGGAGGGGAGTGGTAGGCTGCCAGTGACACCATCTGAGGAGATAGGATATTGTCCTGCATCTGCAAAACTCAAATGTTTTGCCTCAGTACTGCCCTTTTATACTCCACCTGAAGTCAGGGTGAATTTTAACACAAACTGTAAACACTCCCATTTAAGGTACTTTTTATATTTATATTTTATATTTTATATGTATTTTATAATTTTATATAATATATATTTTTAAATATATATTTATATATATTATATTTTATAAATATGTTCTCCTAAATGACCAACATCAATAAGGCCACACATTCAACTGGGTAAAGCAAAGTCTGTGCTGTGTGTCCTGGTCATTATCTTGCCCAGTTTTCTAGCTTTCCAGAGATCTAATTTCCATGCAGGAGGGAATGTATCCGAATCATCTGTGTGTCCCGAATTAGAGCTTGGCACTTAAAATGTTTGCTAAATAAATCATTACAAAAAAGGAACTTGGTATCCTTCTTGCCCTCGGTATCCTCCTCCATTTCTAGAGTTTCTCTCCTCAGTCCCACTGTGTACTTTATTCTCTTGCTTGCTCATCTCCATGGCCTTCCTGATGGTGAATGTCAGGATAAATCCGGGGCCCCCACTCTAACACACAAGGGCCTTTACACATGACAACCTTCTTCTCAAGCCTTCTGTCATATTCCCTATCCCCCCGGCCCAACAGGGCACTGGCTCCTCCTGGTCACATCTCCCTGACTTGCCCATGCTGTTCTTGTTCTTGAGCTTCTCCCCTCAACCACCACATTCTCCACTCTTACTTGATAACCTACTACTCAACCTTTAAGACTCAGATGAAATGTCACCTCCTCTGTGAGAAGTTTCCAAATTCCCAAGCAAAAAAGTTGCTCTCCACTGGGCTCCCACAGCATTTTGTACCTAAATCTAATCATCAAACATGTATTTACTAAATGCTTACACAACCCGTACTGTGGGAATTTAGCCCCTTACATGTCTGTCCTTCCCATCAGACTGAGCTCATGTAGGATAGTGACTGTAACCAACTCATCTTAGTATCACCAAGGCCTAGCTAGCATCATGCCTGCCACTTCCCAGGCATTACTAAGAGCTGACTGAATACTTGCACCAGTGAAGCAGCAGATTGGAAACAGCCCTGCACAGGGAGGCGTGAAGACAAGGCCCCTCAGTTTCCTCATCTGTGTGAGAGAGGGACTAGAGAACCTCTTAAATTCGTAACAACTCAAGTTTTATGACAAACGGGGCGGCCAGTCTGGCTGACTGCTACAATCAGTGAACCAAACGTAAATCATGAATCAGTAGAAACACTGAGCTAGCATTACGATGATGTCCATTTTGGGCTAGTTGTCTTTCCTTTGAAGTAAGAGCAAACTTCTGAAATTACATCTCCAAATGCAAAAAATAAGTGCACACAACTGCCCCCTCATCAGGCTTCTGTAATTGGAAAAGGCACTTGGGCGTTTCAGTTGGGCGCTAAGCTAGAATCCAGGTCCCCAGTCAGCTTTGGACCTTACTGCTTGCCCCTCTGCACTCAGATTGAGAAGACGTGGTTGTAGTGAGGGGACTGTATAGTGCAAGCAAGAGACAAAACAGTGGGGGGGGGAAAATGGAGCTGATACGTTTACAACTTATCCAAGAATGTATATAACTCCGACTCAGAAACAAATTCAAACGAAGAGAAAGTAAATAGAGTATATATTCAGCCACAACTGAACGGAAAAAGGAGAAACTACTAGTCAATACAGTGTTCCAGGTTTATGTAATTCTCTGATAATTTAGAGTCACATTTTCTAGCACCCAAGAAACCGGCCTTATTCTCCTTTATAGCTCCAGAACCTAGCAGAGTAGCAGGCAACATTTAATAAAGGTTTCTTGAATCGAAATGGTTTATCTTTACAAAAACCCAAAGGGGAGGTTTCGTTATCCCCAATTTAACACTGGAGGGAGCTGAAACTCCGACAGCTTATTTGCCCAAGTTCATTAAACTGAGTCACGTCTCCTGACAGCCACCGTAGGCTGGGCGGGAGAAGTCCGCCGGGCCCTGCCTCCCCGGTTCCGGCGTCTCATTACCCCCGGGCGCCCAGCCGCGCTACCTGGAGCACACAGTCCGACTGCAGCAGACATGCGCCCAGGTCCTCCTTCACGCCCGCGCACGCGCCGCCCTCCGGCTTGTCCTCGTAATACCGGGGCATGACTCTGCCTCCCGACCCAGCGGCCGAGACCCGCTTCCGTGCACAACGGCTGCAACCCTGCTGGGGCGCAAGCGACACGCCCGGACGACAGGAATCGGAAGCCCGCAGCAACAACTTCCGGCTAGCCCCCGGAAAACTACAGGGCCCGAAAGGCCGCGCGCGCGGCGGAAGTGGGCGCACGTGACGCGTCGCGCCCACAGCGCCGGCTACGTTGCGGGAAGGGAAGTCGGCCCCGCGGCTGCTGGGCTTGGCTGCTGGGCGGAGGTGGCGCGCTAGCTTGGACCCCTTGGAGGCCGCCTCGGGGCTCCAGGTGAGACTTGAGGACCGCTCCGTCCGTTCGCGGCTCGGGCTCGCCCGGCGCCTTTTCCTCCGGCACCTCACGGCCCGACAGCCCACGGCCCTGGAGTGACCATAGCCGGGTCCGGCTGCTCGGCGGGCGGTAGGGTTGCCATATAAATCAAGATGCCCAGTTTTTTTTCCACTTGAATTTCACATAAACCACGGACAACGTTTTAGTGTATGTCCGACACAATGTTTCGGACATGCTTATACAAAAAGTTATACCTGTATCGGAGATTCGACTGTAACTGGGCTACCGGTGTTTTTATTTGCTAAATATGGCAACCTTACCCGCAGCCCCGGGCGGACCGGGAGCCTCTGGACTCGGAGAGGCGCTGATTGGCGTCAGGGAGGCCTGGGAGGTGGAAGGTGTGGGGCGGGGAAAGTGGGCTGTTCGTGAGGGCTGGACGGTGACCTGCTCTCACGGGGCTTCAGATTGATTCCACCGGACTCCCATGCTGCCATTTCCTCTGCTGAACTATTCAGGGAGTAAAGCACTATGGTCTTGATTTTTGTTTTTATATCCCATTCCAGTGAAAGAGTTGCTTGATGGACTTGCACTGATGGACCTGTGTGAATAGGCCATTTATTTTACCTCATTGGTAACATTGTTGCTAATAGGCTTTTAAAACCGATTCCCTTGAAGACTTGATGGTTAAGAGCAGGGGATTTTGGCTCCATAGCCATCTCTGAGCCCATGAGGGGGTCAGTTTACCTCCTAGTGCTTTTCTTTCTCTTTCTCTCCCTCCCCCTTTCCCTCTCTCTCTCTCTCTCTACTTCCCTCCCTCTTGTCCTTCCTGCCTCCTCCCTCCCTCCTGGTTAAGAGTAGCTACTTGGGTGGGCTGCCTAAGGAGAGAAGTGAAGTTTGGGAAATTTATGGACCCTATAGAAGTGTTATGAAGGTTCAGAAGGGTGTGGTGCTGCCCTTGCCTGAAGTACAGTGGGCAGTTCTTGAGCTCCGAATTAAGCCTCAGAACCACCTCCATTATCTTTTGACCCCTGACTCTTATCAAGGATTGTGGAAGGACTGTTAAGATGACATCCCTCCTAAATATCTCAGAAGAGGTTGTTGGCAGCCAATAGTTTCCTAAGATTAGGAAATTTAAAAGAATTTTTTTCTTCCATCTAGGAAGATGTTACCAAGTATTTCAGTGAATTCTCCAGTGCAGGGGAACGGAGTGTTGAACTCCAGGGATGCAGCAAGACACACAGCTGGAGCAAAACGCTACAAATACCTGAGAAGACTTTTTCGTTTTCGGCAGATGGACTTTGAATTTGCTGCATGGCAGATGCTCTACCTATTTACTTCCCCACAGAGAGTTTATAGAAATTTTCATTATCGAAAGCAGACAAAGGATCAGTGGGCCAGAGATGACCCTGCTTTCTTGGTCCTGTTAAGTATTTGGCTCTGTGGTAAGTGTTAGTTTATCTACAGTAGAGTTGAAGAACAAACTGAGTGGTTGGCTTTTTTTTAAAGATTTTATTTATTTATGTGAGAGAGAGAGCCAGTGAGCACGAGCGAGCACAAGCAGGGGGAGGAGCAGAGGGAGAAGGAGAAGCAGGCTTGCTGCTGAGCAGGGAGCCCCATGCTGGGCTTGATCCCAGGACCCCGAGCCCGAAGGCAGACGCTTCACCGACTGAGCCTCCCAGGCACCCCCAAACTGAGTGTTTTAGATTGTACTTGTCACTTGCAGAATCTTTTGTTATAAGCATATCGTGGGTCAGAATTTGAGATATTTGAAGCTGTTCCTTCCTTTCTGAAGCCTCAAAAATCTCACAGGAAAGAATGTTGTATTCTTTCTGGTTCTAAAGGTCCCAAGCAGATGCCAGAGTAAATTGTTCCCTCGGAATTTTGAAAAGCAGAGGACAGAGTCACTCCATGTCTTTTAACTGCTATGATACCAAATGCAAACTTACTGTGAAAAGGAATATCAAGATGGGAAATTGCATTTCACAGGCAAATCTAGAGTGAGTTCTAAAAGTACCAATGTGAACTTGAGAAACTACTTTTAAGTTCTCCAATAATGTAGTGAGAGAGTCCTAAACACCCTAGGGTGTAAATGTGTAATATTTTTTTCATCTTTACCTGGACTTAAATATGTGGGTGCCTGTTCAGAATTAGTGGTCTTTTAAATGTTGGGACTACCCTGGGGAACCATAGATGGGGGCCTCTACAGTAAACTACAGTTAGTTCAGTAGCCATTCTCTGTTCTAGGGTAGTCTGCATTTCTCAATTCTGTATACATATAACACATCTTTGGGGTTTTGTTTACATGACTGTCTCCTCCATTACACATGTGGGCATCTGGAGGGCAGTGACTTGCCCCACCCGTATCCCCAGAACCTAGCATAGTGCCTGAATTTATCATGTAAATCTTTCTTTCAGTGTCCACTATAGGATTTGGCTTTGTTCTGGACATGGGATTTTTTGAGACGATAAAGCTGCTCCTTTGGGTTGTATTCATAGATTGTGTAGGCGTTGGTCTGCTCATATCAACTTTAATGTGGTAAGTACTAGAACTTTGGTTTTTCAAGTGCTGCTGTAGAGCCTGCATTTCCTTCCTTTAGAGATAGAGTGGCTGATGAAAATTGAAACAAGATATATGAACTGAAAGCATGAATTAAAATTTTTTGTATTTAAGTATAGTTGACATACAGTGTTATATTAGTTTTAGGTGTATAGCATAGTGATTTGACAGTTAATATACATTATGAAGTGCTTATCAAGATAAATATAGTTACCATCTGTCACCATACAGTGTTGTTACAATATTGACAGTATTCTCTATGCTCCACTTTTTATCTCTGTGTCTGATTTATTTTGTAACTGGAAGTTTGTACCTCTTAATCCCCTCCACCTATATCACCCATTCCTTCAACTCCATCTCCTCTACCAGTTTGTTTTCTATATTTATGAACCTGTTTCTGTTCTTTGTTCATTTTGTTTTTTAGATCTGCATGTAAGTGAAATGATACGGTATTTGTCTTTTCTGACATATTTCGCATACCATTATACCCTCTAGGTCCATTCATGTTGTCACTAATGGCAAGATCTCATTCCTTTTTATGACCAAGTAATATTCCATTGTGTGTGTGTGTGTGTGTGTGTGTGTGTGTGTGTGTGTGTGTGTGTATATGTATATACACCCCATTTCTTCTTTATCCATTCAACTATTGATGGATACTTAGGTTGGCTTCCATATTTTGACTATTGTAAATAATATTGCAGTAGACATAGGGGTGCATGTGACCTTTCAAATTAGTGTTTTCATTTTCCTTGGATAAATACCCAGTACTGATATTGCTGGATCATATGGTATTTCTGTTTTTAATTTTTTGATGAACCTCATATTGTTTTCCACAGTGGTTGCTGCAGATTACATTCCCACCAACAGTGCACAAGGGTGTCCTTTTCTGTACATCATTGCCAACACTGGTTTTTTTCTTGTCTTTTTGATACTAGCCATTCTGACAGGTGTGAGGAGATACCTCATTGTGGTTTTGATGTGCATTTCCTTGATGATGAGTGATGCTGAGCATCTTTTCATGGGGTCTGTTGGCCATTTGTATGTCTTCTTTGAAAAAATGTCTATTCTCTTCCTCTGCCCATTTTTTAATTGATTTTTTTTAGTGTTGAGTTATGTAAGTTCTTTATATATTTTGGATACTAATCCCTTATCAGATGTATCATTTGCAAATCTCTTTTCACATTCACTTGGTTGCCTTTTTATTTTTTTCGTGGTTTCCTTTGCTATGCAAAGCTTTTTATTTTGGTGTAGTCCCAATAGTTTATTTTTGCTTTTGTTTACCTTGCCTGAGGAGACAGATTCATAAAAATGTTGCTGAGGCCAATGTCCAAAAAATTACTGCTTATGTTTTCTTTTAGGAGTTTTATGGCTTCATGTCTCATATTTAGTTCTTTAATCTATTTTGAATTTATTTTTGTGTGTATGGTGTAAGAAAGTGGTCCATTTTCACTCTTTTGCATGTAACTGTCCAGTTTTTCCAACACTTTTATTGAAGAGCCTGTCTTCCCCATTGTATATGCTTTTCTCCTTTGTCATAGGTTAATTGACCATATAAGTGTTAGTTTATTTCTTGGGTCTCTATCCGGATCTGTCTGGTTTTGTTTTGTTTTGTTTTTTTGTTTTGTGTTTGTTTTTTTTTAAAGACCATGAGAGCAAGCAGGGGTTGGGGGGCAGAGGGGGAAAGAGAGAGAGAGAGAGAGAGAGAGAGAGAGAGAGAGAATCTTAAGGAGGCTCCATGCCTAGCGTGAAGCCCAACTGGGGACTTGATCTCATGACCCTGAGATTATGTCCTGAGCCAAAATCAAGAGTAGGGCACTTAAACTGAGCCACCCAGGTGCCCCTGCTCTGTCTGTTTTTGTGCCGGTACCATACTGTCTTGATCACTGCAGCTTTGTAGTATATCTTGATATCTGGATTGTGATGCCTCTAGCTTTGTTTTTCTTTCTTAAGATTGCCTTGGCTATTTGGGGTCTTTTGTGGTTCCATACAAATTTTAGAATTCTTTGTTTTAGTTCTCTGAAAAATATTATTGGTGTTTTGATAGGGATTGTATGGAACCTGTAGATTGCTTTGGGTAATATAGACATTTTAACAGTACTGGTTCTTCCAATCCATAATCATGGAGTATCTTTCCATGTGTTGTGTCCTCTTCAATCTCTTTCATTAGTGTCTTATAGTTTTTAGAGTATAGGTTTTTTATCTCCTTGGTTAAATTTATCCCTAGGTATTTTTTTTATGTAATTGTAAATGGGATTATTTTCTTAGTTTCTCTTTCTGCTGCTTCGTTATTAGTATATTGAAACACAACAGATTTCTGTATATTAATTTTGTGTCCTGTAACATCACTGAATTCATTGATTAGTTTTAATATTTTTTTGGTGGAGTCTTTCAGGTTTTCTATATAGAGTATCATGTCATCTGCAAATAGTGACAGTTGTACTTCTTCCTTACCAATTTGGATGCCTCTTATTTCTTTTTCTTGTCTGATTGCTGTGGCTAGGAATTCCAGTACTATGTTAAGGAACCGTGGTGAGAGTGTATGTTCTTGTTTTGTTCCTGATCCTAGAAGAAAAGCTTTCAGCCTTTCACCATTGAGTATGATGTTAGCTGTGGGTTTGTCATATATGGCCTTCATTATGTTAGGTACGTTCCCTCTCAGCCCATTTTATTGAGAGTTTTTATCATAAACTAATGTTGAATTTTGTTAGATGCTTTTTCTGCATCTATTGACATAATCATATGTTTTTTATCCTCCATTTGGTTAACATGTATCGCATTGATTGATTTGCACATATTGAATCATGCTTGCATCCCTAGAATTAAATCCCACTTCATCAGGTGGAATATCCTTTTAATGTATTATTGAATTTGGTTTGCTAATACTTTGTTGAGTATTTTTAGGTCTTTGTACATCAAGGATATTAGCCTATACTTTTCCTTTTTTTGTAATGTCTGTGTCTGATTTTGGTACCAGGGTAATGCTGGCCTAATAGAACTGATTTGAAAATTTTCCTTCCTCTTCTATTTTTTGCAGTAGTTTCAGAAGAGTAGGTGTTAACTTTGCTTTAAATGTTTGGTAGAATTCACCCATTAAACCATCTGGTCCTGGACTTTTGTTTGTTGGGAGTATTTTGATTACCGATTCAGATTCATTTACTTGTAATAATATGTGTATTCACATTTTGTATTTCTTGCTGATTCAGTTTTGGAAGATTGTATATTTCTAGGAATTTATCCATTTCTTCTTTAAATGTTGGGACTATAACTTGTTGTCATATAACTTTTCATAGTAATCTCTTGTAATCCTTTGTATTTCTGTGGTGTAGGTTGTTACTTGTTGTCATATAACTTTTGTCTAACTTGTTGTCATATAACTTTTCATAGTAATCTCTTGTAATCCTTTGTATTTCTGTGGTGTAGGTTGTTACTTCTCTTTCATTTCTGATTTTAATTTATTTGGGCTCTCTTTTCTTCTCTGACTGAGTGTCCTATCAATTTTGTTTATCTTTTCAGAGAACCAGCTCTTGGTTTCACTGATCTTTTCTATTGTTTTTTTAGTTCCTATTTCATTTCTTTTTACTCTGATTTTTATTACTTTCTTACTTCTATTAATTTTAGGTTTTGCTTGTCATCTTTTCTCATATCTTTAGGTGTAAAGTTATATTACTTGAAATTTTTGTTTTTTCTTGAGGTATGCCTATTAGAACTTCTCTCTTGGAACTGGCTTTTGCTGTGTCCCAAAGATTTTTGGAACATTTTTTTTCCATTTTCATTTGTCTCAAGGTATTTTTTTATTTCCTCTTTGGTTTTGTTGTTGTATTTTAGTAGCAGGCCGTTTAGCCTTCACGTGTTTGTGTTTTTTTTCCAGTTTTTTTTTCTTGTTATCAATTTCTAGTTTCACACCATGTGGTTGGAAAAGATGCTTGATATGATTTTGATCTTCCTAAATTTATTGAGATTTGTTTTATGGGTCAGATGTGATCTGTTCTGGAGAATGTTTTATATGCACTTGAAAAGATTTTGTATTCTGCTGTTTTTGGATGGAATATTCTGCACATATATGCATCTAATATGTTGTCGAAAGCCACTCCTTATTGATTTTCTGTCTGGATGATCTATTCATTGATATAAGTGGGGTCTTAAAGTCCCCTATTTTGTATTACTATCAATTTCTTTGTTTGTTAGTATTTGCTTTATGTATTTGAGTATTCCTGTGTTGGTTAAATATAGATATTTATAATTGTTACATTCTCTTGTTGAATGGAACCCTTTATCATTATGTAATGCCTTGTTTTGTCTCTTGTTATGGTCCTTGTTTTAAAGCATATTTTGTGTGAAAGAAGTATTGCTACTCTGGTTTTTTTTTTTTTTTTTGGCTTCCATCTGCATAGAATATCTTTTTCCATCCCTTCACTTTCAGTCTGTATGTGTCTATAGGTCTGAAGTGAGTCTTGTCAGCATATAGCTGGGTCTTGTTTTCTTATCTATTCAGTTGCCCTATGTCTTTTTTTTTTTTAAGATTTTATTTATTTATTTATTTGTCAGAGAGAGAGAGAGAGAAAGAGAGCACAAGCAGTGGGAGAGGCAGCGGGAGAGGGGAAGCAGGCTCTCCACTGAGCAGGGAGCCCAATGCAGGGCTCCATCCCAGGACCCTGGGATCATGACCCAAGCCGAAGGCAGTCACTTAACCAACTGAGCCACCCAGGCGCCCCTCGTTTTTATTTTTATTCCTGTTATCATACAGTGTTAAATTAGTTTCAGGTGTACGGTATAGTAATTCAACACTTCCGTACATCACCCTGTACTCATCAGAAGTGCACTCCTTAATCCCCATCACTTATTTCACTGCCCTCATCTCCCCTCTGGTAACCATCAATTTGTTCTCTATAATTAAGAGTCTTTTTCTTAATTTGTCTCTCTTTTTTCTTTCCTTTGCTTGTTTTGCTTCATAATTTCCACACGAGTGAAATCATGTTGTC